AACTAGGGAAAGTAATTGCTGGGTGACTAATTGATGGGACTGAGGCAAGGATATCTGCTAAGGATACCTGCACATGAAGAATCAGATGCAAGAACAGGGAATATATGAGCAATTGGGGCCCCAAAAGCCTCTGGAACAAAGCAATAGGACACACATGGGCCAATAATCTATTAGAGTTAAGTAGAATTTTCTCCCTTTAGATTCTCAACTCTGTCTGGACTGGAGTCTAGAAACTGCATTTCATTTTACCGTAGGGCTCTAGCTGAGGTTTAACTGAGATGCGGTAGACTATAGAAAAGGAGAGACAATTTTCTGGTCATGCTAGAAAATGCAAGCAGGCATATAGATATCATCAGACAGCATTGGGAGGTTCTTCAAAGCCTTCCAGATGACTCCCTGAGAACCATCTACTCTTGTGACAGTCAGCCAAGGTCATGGGCTGCTTCTCCTGTGAAACATATATCTCCTGAATGTTGGCGTGCGATCCACTGGTGCCCCCCATCTTTTTACTAACTGTCTTTGCAACACTCTATGAAATCTCTTTTAACTTTTTGTTTCTGAGACATGGTTTCTCTCTGTAGTGCTGGCTGTCCTGGGATTTGCTGTCTTAGACCAGGCTGGCCTTGAACTTAGAGATCTGTTCACCTCTACCTCCCTAGTGTGTGGCTTAAAATTGTGAGCCACCATACCTGACTCTGAAGTCTCTTTTGTTTTCCTGACTAGTCTGCCATATCAAAAGAACACAAGTGAAAGAATCTTGCAAGCTGAGATCATGTGTTCAGAGGCAAGCAATCCTACTCACCCCATCCATCCTTAGACTGTTCTCCCAATATCACACAGCCCAGCAGTTAAGAACACAAAAGAATGGGTCATAGATACAAATACATATATTTAGATATATAGATATAAATATATAAATACAAATATTTCTACTCTAACTGATAAACTTTACCGAGTCAATGCTGGCATTTGATATGTAATATACAGTTACCAAAACTTGAATGGTCAAATGATACTGCTCCCCTAAAATACCAGCACAATGCTCAAGTTTTAGTAGGGATAGAGTGGTGTTTCATCACGTGGGGGGACAAAAGAGTACTAAACTTTGAACTTCATGTATAGTCATGTTCAGATATGTTACTGAAAGACAGATTAATTTTTCCCCTGTAACCCATGGGCTGATGGGAAGATATTCAAATGGATTTGCATGTGAGTGCCAAAAATTTCAATGCAAAATTCCTTTGGGATTTTTTTCCTCCTTCTTCAGACAAGTAAAGCCAAGTTCTTGATGCTGGAGGAAAAAAATATCTGAAACATTATGACCTCACTTTTCATCAATATGCATACTGTCTTTTTGCTTTAAAAAAATCCTTCTGGTCAATGTAGGTATTAAAAGCCCCTTGTCAGCCATCCAACTGCATTGATATCTTTTCTCCTCAATGAGTGCTTCCTAGTCAGTTGCTGCCTGGTGTCAATTTTCTAGGCTAGACAATGTAGTTGCAAACAGAGTCTGTTGGCTTTGGTTCAGACCTTAATATCTGGGTGGGGGAAGGGGAACTGATTACCTTTTCTCAGGTCAATGGATTGCTGCCTTTTATGTACGGGGCATCTAAGTTACTCAGTAACATTGGGGCATGTCAACTGTAATCTCAAAGCACGTAGGCAATTTTGGTGTTTAAGGAACATATTTGACACTGACTCAGACCATGATAAGCCAGATTTCAATTTTTCCAAACTCTAGGGATGGGTAAGCTTGGCTTTCTGCTCAGTTCACTGAATAGCTCAAAATTGTTTTTCAAATATCCCTGGGATTGGCCAAAACCAAATCTACTTTGCCAAACATTTTACTTAATTTAATAACAAAAAATTCCCATCTGTATTTTAATGAAAATTTAATCCATATGCTTGATTCACTTTTTGCATTTAATCCATCAAAATATTTTGTAAGACTTATCTGGAATCCAAAAGGCTTTCTATGTCATTTTCATAAAAATGTGTTGGCATAGGACTCTCTCCCCCAACATTTTTTTTCTCCTCCTAATAGGGAAATTCTGTTTTCCCAGCCCCCATCTGACTTACAACTTGGGCATTCTTTCTGTGATTCCTTTTCATACCAGTTGTACTCTTGTGGGATCTCTAATCAACATGACTCATAAAGATAGTCTCCATTTTGTTTTTCTGTGGTATGTTAAAAAAGAAAAGAAGTAAAAGATTGGGGTGACAAAGTATTTTAGCTTTTCTTCTAGGGAGAAGCCTAGTGACCTTGACTTCAGCCAGATTTCTAGTCTTCCTCATCCATGGAATGATTGAAAGGAGAGTCAGATGCATATATTTAGACAGATGCATTTCTTGTGGAAAGGAATAGAGAGTTGGTTAAAAGTTTCCCATAAATCTGACTTATAGAGGTAGAGCCATTAGGAATAAATAATAAATAAATGATGATCAACCCCTTGAAAACAGCTGGCTAGTTTCAACTCATGTAACATTTCAGATGGACATAAAATAGAAGGGCTCTTCCAAGGCTCATTGGAAAGGAGATTGCAAGTACAGTGCATTGATCCTTTACTTTTCAGACTAGTTTTGCTTTGCTGGGTAGCTGCAGTCCAGCAGAGGCTGAAGGGAAGAGGTCAGGAGGAAGGAAAGGCCAGAAATGGTGGTTGGTGGCCTTGGCTGTGCTCTTCAGCGAGGTCATCGCTCTTCAGTGCTGCCTGCTGGTCCTGTCCTGCTGCCAGGACCCAAAGAGCTTCAGATACAATTGATCTCATTATAGATCAGGACAGACTTGGCTGGCTGGCTGACCTGCTCTCTCCCAGTGGTTAGGACATAGCATGCTTTTCTCCCCACCCCCAGTCCTATCTCATTGTTCTGGCTGAAGGTTCTTTTGTCTTTGGATTAATCTAGGGTTAATCTAAGTTTACTTACTTGCTGCAAGTCTGAGCTGGCAAGGTGGACATCATCTTCAAATCACTCTGAACAACCTGCTCCCACCATCAGTGTGTGTGCTAATTTGTTTAACCTCTGTCTACATTGGACCCAGACCAACTCTGAGAAACTGGGCACAAGGCTTTAGTAGGATTATATTAAAGATTAATTCTGCACCTGAGCTAAGACGTAATTCTTTCATGCTGACTTGCTAGGAGGCTTCTCGGTGCTTTGTTTCTCTGAAACAGAGTTGAATGGAACAGTCTGGAAACATAAGAGGAACTTCTGAAGGCTGTTAAGGTGCTGTAGCTCCAATAATGATGGCACTCAAGGAGAACTTTTCTCTCAGACACTCATGGAGGGAGACCACCAATTCTTTGATAGTGCATTTTGTACCTCCATAATATAGTGCCATTCCATCACAAGGGTGATTATGAGGTTTAGGGAGTGGTGGAGGGCAGATAGAGAGAGGCCTTCACTTCTTCCTAAACTTAAGAAGTGAAGAGAAAAGACCGAAGGGGGTGCTCTTTGTAGATTCTTACTGAGTTCCAGAAATAAGCTCCAGTTTAACTTATAAGTTCCTGTCATCCTTGTTTCCATTTTAACGTCTCCTTCGTATGAGATAGCTGATCCTTGAGTTCCTTATAGCTCTGATATTATTCTAGCTTGTAACTTAATTCCTTCAAAAACTAAGTGGTAAGGGAAAGAGGAAAAATTCTATCTAGGCACACTGGTTATTTCACATCTAAAAATCTTCCTCATTCAGCCAACCATCTATACAAGCCAGGGTGGAGACATCTCTGTTCTTTTGGTTCATACCAAAGTCTCCATTCTCATAGCTAGTAACAGTCTCCTAAACTTGCTACCACCAAAGATGGACCCTGGGAACCCATGGATGGATCCCCAGAATCTCTGCTTCCTCAGGTGGAGCCGTTGCTGCCACAGGCAGGCACATCTTTCTATTTCCCTCATCATGGACTTTCATCACCAAGGGACCCGAGCCTTTTGTTCTTTCTCACTTTATTTCCTTCTGTTATTTCTCTGTAGATAATAAACTTCAAATAGACTCTATCTTCCAAGGGAAAATATATAATAACCAGAAAATACATGTTTTTGAAGACAAGAAAATCCCTAATGTTTCGAAATTATTGATCTTAATGTTCTAGTGATATTACCATTACTTGGCAGCACTTACTCGGGGAAAGGCAGGGCTCCCACTTGGGCCTGAAAAATGCTGAACAAGTCACTTGCAAAGCAATTTTCAAGTTATTGAAAGAAAGTATAGGTACTGTATAATTTGGAACATAAGAAGGAGCCATGGTAAGACAGTATTCTGTTAAGAGTTTTGAAGGCTAGCACTTGGAAATTCCTTAAGGAAGAGAACATTCCTGTCAAATAAATACATCATTGAGTTTTAAAATAAAACATTTTAAATTGAGTAAAATTAAGAATAGCTTTGTGTCAATATCACATTGCTTGAGGTTATGCCAGATTATGCACCCAGGTGACTTATTTTTATTTTTTCTTTATTAGAAACTGTAGTATACAATTATAGACTTTTAGAAATGGCAGCAAGATTACTCTTGGTATTTAGATTGAAAAATTATAGAGTAATTTCTCGCTGAAGATTACTTCACGTTTTCCATCATATGTTGTGTCAATAAGTCCATTGCACTAAAGTAGGGCAATTTAATGCTGAATGACTCAATTTGGGAGGTGTCAATGAATGGAGTCTGAGTTTCCTCTTTGATATTACCAGTTATTATAAAACATTTCCCATATTCTGCAGTAAAATTTGGATACTTTATTTTTGAAAAAAATATTCTCAGGAATAGGCTCACAGATTTTTGTCTTTGGTGGATAAAGAAAAACATCATATTCTGGAGGGAGAGTGAACCATTTGAATCAGGGAAATTCTGAGACTTCATGTACAGCATTAAAACTGAATATCTGATCATAAAGTAATAGACTCGACCCACTAAGGTGTTGCACACTTCGCTGTGGATACCATTCAAGATCAGTGTCATGCTTCCATCTTTTATCTAAAAAAATTACTATGATCGCTCTGTCTTTAATAGAATAGAACACCTCAGCTGGAGAAACACAATGGTGAGCTTTCTGCCCCTCTCATACCTCAGGAAGAGGTTGTGTATGTGTGTAGTCTTTACTCGTTCCATCAACACTGCAGCTAGAATCTGATACCCGTCGCTGGACACTATCTGCTCTTCACAGAAAAGCCAGTGTATGGACTTTATCCAGGTGAGACATCTTTACTCACAGACCAAATCCAGCCCTTGCTGCCAATCACTTGATATGTAGTGACTGTTAGCCAAGTGCCCTTTTGTCAACCCCCTTCAAATGATTGGCAATGAGAAAAAATAAGCAAATGAAGGAAATACTTCAGTATGGATTTCTAGTGATAGCATTTTGAAATACTCATCTAAATATTAAAATTATTCATAAACTTTTCAAGAGTAACTCCATACTACAGCAGGAAAAGTTCTCTGTATGGTAACTAGGTAACTAAGATACACACATACACAACACACACACACACACACACACACAGAAGAGAGAGAGAGAGAGAGAGAGAGAGAGAGAGAGAGAGAGAGAGAGAGATTTTCCACTCCCTGTGTTTCTGCTATCCATTTCCACAATCAGATCTTTAACGAACAGCTTTATACCCAGATCCTGGAGCTGCATATGTAGATTGAGACTTTTGTTCAGTCACTTAATGTGAGCATTCCTTAAATATCAGATTCTTCTGGTCTGGAATTAAGAGCATAGTTCAGTGATGTTATTTTGAGGCTTGTATTTGATATTCATGCATGACCTGGTAGCACTCAGATGTAAGCTGTGAGCATCACAAGTTCTGGTCACTCCCACTGTTACACCTCCAGCTATCCACAGGAAAATGCTCAAATATCTCCCTCCTAGGAAGCCTCCCTGAATCCCCAAAGTCAGAATTTTCTCTTTGTTCAAAGTATTTCCTATATTGTCTCATGAAAATAGCCTATACTCATTGGAAAAAATAGTTAAGCAATTACAGTATTTAGAGTGGCTACTTCACAGCAAACATTTTGGCATATATCCCTATGCTTATTTATGCCCCACATATAAAGGATTACTTGTGTACCTCAATCCCCTCTACATCATAGCAAGTTTTATATTTTATTCTTTCATACTTTCATTTTTTCGTCCATTTTTTTCTGCATATCATTTTAAACTTCCCTCAATTTAACAAGGCTCTTTCTCTTTTTCATTTCAAGATATTCTTGGAGAGGACTGCTCAGTAATACTTATTAAGTGAATGGATAAGTGTCGCACCATTGCAAACAGAAAATTGAATTTATACCTCATCAAGCCCCACTTTGCCCATGCTGGCTTCCCAAGCCATGTTTCAATTGAATTTGAGTCTTTTCTGTCCTGTGACGTAGGAAGCAACTTGATGAGCTGAGCTGTGTTGCCAAGGCCAAGGCCCTGCCTGCCAGACACTCCATAAACACTTCCCGAAGTGGCTAGAATGGAAGAGGTGAAACTTGAACCTGGAGTAGCAAGCCGAAGAGCAGCAAGAAGAAACCCAACCCTTGTTCCGTGCCACACTCACAATTCAGACTCCTCAGTCTGAGAGTGTAACGACACCGGCATGCATAACACAGACATGAACCTTCTAAGAAAATCCCCCTGTGCTTCTTAGAAGCTTAGAGGGAGACAAACAACACATGGAGGAGATAAAATTAGAGTTGGGAAGCATGAGCGCACAGGTGCTTGTTTGTATTATTTTGGTGTGCACATGGCAGCTCCGTGTTTGTCAACTCCCCTGAGAGTGAACCAGGCATGACTCTGAAAACACTTGAGTGACATCAAAACCATACATTTCTATGAAGCTTTCGTTTTTCTTCTTCTTTCAATGTAGTCACAATAGAAAGATAGTGCTTATTTTTTAATTATGTATTCTTTGAAGTTACCATATTTGAGACTATTATCCAAAACATTTTCAGCTAATGGCCCCAAAGCACCATGCCTATCTTGCTTTCTAGTCTCTTGCTGTAAAGTGTTCGTGTAAGTGGATCATTCTTCTAACTGAATTATTTTCATGATCTTTCAATAGTGTGAAAATGTTACGTACCCTCCAAGAACCATGCCAATTCTCATTAAACTGCAAATTTTACATAACTCTACTGAATGCCTGCCAGGTGCCAAACCTTGTCCTAAACACTACTTGTAAGTTTTCTAGTTAACTCCCATAAAACCCTAGCGATGTAGATAAGTAAGAGCTAAATAAGTTGTCTGTCATAGCTAGGGTTACTCTTATTGTGATGAGACATCATGACCAAAAACAACTTGGAGGGGATTGGTATATATTTCACTCACAGAGCCATGTAGCAGTTCATTATCAAAAGCAGTGGGAGCTGATGGAGAGGCCTCGGAGGAATACTGTTTTGCTCCCCACATCTTGCTCAGCCTGCCTTCTTATAGACCCCAGGGCTATGGGCCAAGAAGTGGCCCTACCAATGGCCTGGGACCTCCCACATTAGTAAGAAAATGCCCAATCTCAAGAGGCGTTTTCTCAAGTGAGGCTCCTTCTGCTCCAGTGATGCTAGCTTGTGTCAAGTTGACATAAAACTAGCCTGCATGACATAAAACTAGCCTGCACATTGTCTAAAATGATTTACTACCTTTGGGATCTTTTGGGATGTTCAAAAAGTTCTGTCTCAGAATCTAAAAGCATCTTCGTCATCTTTGGAAAACAGCATTGTTATGGGACTATTTAAAACTATGTGGGACCCCAACCCAGCGAGCCCAGCTTCAGGTGAGATTGGGTCTCAGGCGGGGACCGCCCGCCCAGCCCCCATCCCCCTCCATCTTCGGGGCCGCTCCCGGTTTCCAGAAGAGCTGCCCACACAGGAAGGAGATCAGCCCCTCTAAGACCCCAACCCAGCGAGCCCAGCTTCAGGTGAGATTGGGTCTCAGGCGGGGACCGCCCGCCCAGTCCCCATCCCCCTCCATCTTCGGGCCCTCTCCCGGCTGCCAGAAGAGCCGCCCACACAGGAAGGAGATCAGTCCCTCCAAGACCCCAACCCAGGGAGCCCAGCTTCAGGGAGCCCAGCTTCAGGAAAGACATCAACCCCTCCAAGACCCCAACCCCAGGGAGTCCAGCTTCAGCATCCCCAGCTTCAGCTGCAGTAAGGAAGGAGACCAGTGGAGACGGAAAGACCCCACCAGCACCCACTGGAAGAAGAGATGGGAAGAAGACAGAATAAGAGATCACTCAGCAATAGAAACACCAACATGACCCCACCAGAATCCAGGGATCCAACACCAGCAAGACCCGAAAAGCACTACATAGAGGAAGAAGAGGAGACAGACCTTAAAAATTATTTCATGAAGATGATGGAGACCCTCAAAGAAGAAACGAGGAAATCGCTTAAAGAAATAGAAGAAAAAACAAACAAAAAAATCCATGAAATGGGGGAAAAAATTCAAGAAATAAACAAATCTCTCAAAGAATCTAAAGAGCACCAAGAAAAATCAACCAAGAAAATTAAAGAAACAGCTCAAACAGTTGAAGGATTGAAAGCTGAAATAGAAACGATAAAGAAAACACAGAATGAAGGGATGCTGGAAATAGAAAAGCTCGGTAAACGGTCTGGAACTACAGATGCAAGTATCACCAATAGAATACAAGAGATAGAAGAGAGAATCTCAGGTGTTGAAGACTCATTAGAGGACATAGAGTCGTCAACCAAAGAAAATCTCAAAACCAACAAATCCTTAACACAAAATATCCAGGAAATATGGGACACCGTGAAGAAGCCAAACCTGAGAATAATAGGTATAGAAGAAGGTGAAGAAATTCAACTTAAAGGTACAGAAAACATATTCAATAAAATCATAGAAGAAAACTTCCCTAACCTAAAGAAAGATATGCCTATGAAAGTACAAGAATCTTACAGAACACCAAATAGGCTTGACCAGAAAAAGAAGTCACCTCGCCATATAATAATCAAAACATCAAACCTACAGTGTAAAGAGAAAATATTAAGAGCAGCCAAAGAAAAAGGCCAAGTAACATACAAAGGCAGACCTATCCGAATTACACCTGACTTCTCAATGGAAACGATGAAAGCCAGAAGATCCTGGTCAGATGTCCTACAAACGCTAAGGGAACAAGGATGCCAACCCAGACTACTATATCCAGCAAAGCTCTCAATTACCATAGATGGAGAAAACAAAATATTCCATGACAAAGCCAGATTTAAACAATACGTATCCATGAATCCAGCTCTACAGAAAATGCTAGAAGGAAAACCTAGAGCCAAGGAAGATAACTACATTCACAAAGACACAGGCAATATATAATCATACTTTACAAAACACCAAAAGAAAAAGGGAGGAGAAACTACACAAAATAACTTCACTAACAATAAATCAAGCGCAAACAAGGATCACCAATCAATGGTCATTAATATCCCTCAATGTCAACGGCCTCAACTTGCCTATAAAAAGACACAGACTAGCAGAATGGATACGAAGACAGGACCCTTCCTTCTGCTGCATACAAGAAACACATCTCAACACCAAAGACAGACGTTATCTCAGAGTAAAGGGCTGGGAAAAGATCTTCCAATCAAACGGCCCCAAGAAACAAGCGGGCGTAGCAATCCTAATATCTAACAAATTAGACTTCAAATTAAAATCAATCAAAAGAGATGAAGAAGGGCACTTCATATTCATCAAAGGAAAACTACATCAAGATGAAGTCTCAATTTTAAACATCTACGCCCCAAATACAAAGGCACCTACATTCGTGAAAGAAACATTATTAAAGCTCAAAATGCACATAAAATCTCACACGCTAATAGTAGGAGACTTCAACACTCCGCTCTCACCGCTAGACAGGACCTCCAGACAGAAACTTAGCAAAGAAACAAAAGAATTAATAGAAGTTATGACCCAACTGGGTTTAACAGACATCTATAGAACATTCCACCCAAATACAAAGGGATATACCTTCTTCTCGGCACCACATGGAACCTTCTCTAAAATTGACCACATAATAGGAAACATAGCAAATCTCCACAGATACAAAAAAATTGGAATAACCCCTGCATCTTATCAGACCACCATGCATTAACATTAGAATTCAACAATAACACAAATCGCAGAAACCCTACAAACTCATGGAGATTGAACAATGCACAATTGCACCATCCCTGGGTAAAGGAACAAATAAAAAAAGAAATTAAAGACTTCCTCGATTTCAATGAAAATGAAGACACAACATACACAAACTTATGGGACACTTTGAAAGCAGTGCTGAGAGGAAAGTTTATAGCACTAAGTGCTTACATGAAAAAACTGGAGAACAGTCATACTAGAGAATTAATAGCACAGCTGAATGTTCTAGAACAAAAAGAAGCAAACTCCCCAGGAGGAGCAGACGCCAGGAAATAATCAAATTGAGGGCTGAAATCAATCAAGTAGAAACCAGGAAAACACTGAGAAGAATCAATGAAACAAAGAGTTGGTTCTTTGAGAAAATCAACAAAATAGACAAACCTCTGTCCAAACTAACCAAAAGACAGAGAGAGAACATGCTAATTAACAAAATCAGGGATGAAAAAGGGGACATAACAACGGACTCTGAGGAAATCAAGAGAATCATCAGGGCATACTTTGAAAATCTGTACTCCACAAAATTTGAAAATTTAAAGGAAATGGACAATTTCCTGGATAGATATCACTTGCCAAAACTAAATCAAGAACAGATAAATAATCTAAACAGACCTATAACCCCTAATGAAATAGAAGCAGTCATCAAAAGTCTCCCAAATAAAAAAAGCCCAGGCCCAGATGGCTTCAGTGCAGAATTCTACCAGAAATTCAAAGAAGAGCTCATTCCAATACTCGTCAAAGTATTCCACACAATAGAAGCAGGAGGCTCACTGCCAAACTCTTTCTACGAGGCTACAATTACCTTGATACCCAAGCCACACAAAGACACAACTAAGAAAGAGAACTATAGACCAATTTCCCTCATGAACATTGATGCAAAAATACTCAATAAAATACTTGCAAACCGGATTCAAGAACACATCAGAAAAATCATCCACCATGATCAAGTAGGCTTCATTCCAGGAATGCAGGGATGGTTCAACATTAGAAAATCTATCAATGTAATCCACCATATTAACAATCTGCGAAAGAAAAACCACATGATCATCTCACTAGATGCTGAAAAAGCCTTTGACAAAATCCAGCACCCCTTCATGATAAAGGTCCTAGAGAGATCAGGGATAACAGGAACGTACCTGAATATAATAAAAGCAATATACAGTAAACCAACAGCTAACATCAAACTAAATGGAGAGAAACTCAAAGCAATTCCTCTAAAATCAGGAACAAGACAAGGCTGTCCACTCTCTCCATATCTCTTCAATATTGTACTTGAAGTTCTAGCTACAGCAATAAGACAACAAAAGGAGATAAAGGGGATACAAATAGGAAAAGAAGAAGTCAAACTTTCACTTTTTGCAGATGATATGATAGTTTACATAAGTGACCCAAAAAACTCCGCAAGGTTACTCCTAGAGCTGATAAACACCTTCAGCAATGTGGCAGGATACAAGGTAAACTCAAAAAAATCAGTGGCCCTATTATATACAGAGGATCAAGTGACTGAGAAAGAAATCAGAGAAACATCACCTTTTACAATAGCCAAAAACAGTATCAAATATCTGGGGATAATGTTAACCAAGGAAGTGAAAGACCTGTATATCAAGAACTTTGTGTCTTTGATGAAAGAAATCAAAGAAGATACCAGAAAATGGAAAGATCTCCCATGCTGTTGGATTGGTAGGATCAACATAATAAAAATGGCAATCTTGCCAAAAGCAGTCTATAGATTCAATGCAATCCCTATCAAAATTCCATCACAATTCTTCAAGGACCTGGAAAGAACATTAATCAAGTTTATATGGAAAAACAAAAGGCCCAGGATAGCCAAAACATCCCTATACAATAAAGGAACTTCAGGAGGCATCACCATACCTGACTTCAAGCTCTATTATAGAGCTATAGTCCTGAAAACAGCTTGGTATTGGCACAAAAATAGGCATGTAGACCAATGGAACCGAATCGAAAGCCCTAATTTTAACCCACACACCT